TGTTCTCCAGGCCCCTAATCAGCCTAGCTGCCCTTCTCTGCACCCTTCTCCAGCACCTCAATGTCCTTTCTATACTGTGGTACCCAAAACTGCACACAGTGCTCAAGGTACAGCCTCACCAAGGAACAGGATAGGGACAGCATCAACTCCCTGGTCCTGCTGGTGACACTATTTCTGATGCAGGCCAGGATGGTGTTGGCCTTCTTGGCCACCTGGGCATACTAACAGTTCATGTTCAGCCATCCATCAATCATAACCTCTAGGTCCCTCTCTGCTGCACAGCTCTAATACAATAGTAAATATTAGTAACCCTCTCTCTTACCTTTCCAATACTGTAAAATCCACACACAGGCCTAGATTAGAAGCAAATATATGCTTTGGGTATCCTTCAACACATGGGGATCCATGGGACCCACAAGATCGGTGCACAGTTTCCTTGTTGACAATTGCTCTAAAAAGAACTGTGTGCACAACAATTACAGAGTGACTAGTGTATCATTCCCTCTTCATGTCTGCCACTCACTGAGACAGTAAAATAAGTCAGAAGTTTTCCCTGAAAACAACTGTAGTTTTCATTTCAGAGAAGACTTGGTCTGACAAATTCTGACAGTTTCTATGTAAGGAGTTTAGCCTGTTCCAGAACACCAGAGCAGCCTTAAATCACCTTATATCAACATGTAAAAGTCTAGCTTAAAAACTGAGATCCAGATTTAGAGCTTCTGCTCACTAAGCTTACTATGCTGACACACACAGAGGTACCATACTGGTACATCAAACTGTGCAGAAGTTGACTGCTGAGCTGGAGTGTCTTCTAGTTACACTGATTTAACAAGAAAAGCCTAGAAACAGAACTTATGCACATAATCAACCTCTTCCACTTCTTCATTTCAGTCAGCCTTACACATTAAGTAACTCCAATGGACAATTTTTGCAAGGATCTGCAGATTTTCTTCCCTACTTTAGTATTTTTACCTTTGATACCTCCTACTTAAAGTTTACTCCAAAACCACAGTCTTACAAAGTCTCACAAGACATAACAGCAATTCATCACTTAGTCTCACTATTCTTGAATAGAAATCTCCTGTAGCTAGTGAAACAGGAAGCTTATTTTCCCAAGCACCTACTGGCATCATACCATGAACACTCCCAATGAGCCTTAACACCACATTCTCCACTATATACAACCTAGGAGGGAAACAGACTTTTTGTAGAAGGCTAGTTCATTTTGAAAACGTGAAGAGAAAATACTTCTGTGGTTAAAAAAGCCAGTAAAATATAAACATTTTTTCCCTGCTGCTAAGCAAAATCAGTGTAAGTTGTTTGGGCTTAGCACAGCCTCATTGCTTGTTAACAATGTCCAAGTCACTGTTGGACAGGGGGGCATGGGTGTGGAAATCTGCTTTCATAGATTAATTTTTTTATGGTACAAGCCCAAGCCTTAAGCAACTGAAAACACTACGAGACTGTGAGCTGTATAGTGTGTCCATGTATAGATAGCTTTATTCATCCTCCAAGTCTATTGCCCCCACCCCGCCTCCCCAGCTCTTTCAGGTTCATCACTCAGAATGCTAATTGCCTGGGTTTTGTTTAGGACTGGCTGTCTGGCTGTCAAGCCAATTCTATTGCCTTTTTGACAAATGAGCTCTTTTGCCTCCCTGCAAAGCCTGTAAGGAAGGTCACAAGACTGTACAGTGTGTTTCTTTTTCTTTATAGCAAAGTTGTAAAGGGGAGATCAAGCCAACCTGGCAAAAATGAGAAACTAGCCACCAGATCTACACCAAACTGATTTTAGCCAGCAGCAAATGGGACTCCTGTAAAATGTGGATTATTTCTTTACATCCTGCATTTTTTTAGTGACCTGCCATACTATCTTTTTATCTTAAAAATATTCTGTGAAGCAGCAGCAGTATATACAAATTGATGGCTGGGTTATAAAACAACACAGCTGGATTTAAAGCTGCATGATTCAAGACAGAAGCAAACCAAAATCATCCCTACCACCCAATCAGTTTACAGTAGAGAAGTCCATCTGAAGACCCAATCCTGCAAAAAACCTTACAAATCTGTTTACACATTACACAACAGCAGCACCAAGTTCAACTTTGATAAAGACTTGGTTCATTGGGACAGCAGCAGTCTTCACAGAATGGTTGAGGCTGGAAGGAACCTCTGCAGGTCATCTGGACACACAGGCCTGGCTCCCTAGGACCATGTCCAGACTGCTTTTGAGTATCTTCAAAGAGTGAGACTCCACATAATCTCTGGGAAAATTCTGTCAGTGCTTGGTCACCCTCACAGTAAAAAAAAACAAACAACAAACGTTTCTTAACAGTCAGAGGGAACTTCCTGAGTTTCAGTTTGTGCCCACTGCCTCTGTCACTGGGCATCACTGAGAACAGCCTGGCTCCATCCTCTTTGCACTCTCCCTTCAGGTACTTATACACTAAGATTCTCCTGAGTCTGCTCCTCCCTCTGCAGGCTGAACAGCCTTAACTCTCTCATTCCTTCCTTGCAGGAGAGATGCTCCAGTCCCTTAATCATCTAGGCAGCTCTTTCCTGGACTCCCAAGTATGTCAGTGTCTCTGTTGTACTGGAGAGCCTAGAACTGGCACGGGTGTGGCTTCACCAGTGCTGAGCAGAGGGAAAGAATCCCCTCCCTCAAGCTACTGGCAACACTCCTACAACAGCCCAAGACACAGTCTTGGCACGTGAGCATGAAGTGCATGTTCAGCTTGGTGTACACCAGGACCCCCAGGTCCTGGTATGCAAGACCACTTTGCTGTCTTGCAGCATACCATTACAACAGCCAATATCCTAAGGGATAGAAAGCAAGCCTTAGGCAAGAAGTCTAGCTATAGAGGTGCTTTTTAGCTAAGTTACAGATGTCTCAAGTCTTAGGCTTCATCTACTTGGCTTCCACCTACTACAACTCCCTAGCTGCAGCAATAACAAATCTGTCTCGGATAAAACTGATCAGCCCCCTGCTAAGTTGCATAGGGTCTATGAGCAAATATAATCTGATCTTGTTGACTGCAGCTTCTTGCCATTGCCTATCCTCTAGAGAGCTGAGTCAAAGAAAGGTCTCAAATTGGCTTGACACAAGTCCATTTTTCCAAGCAAACTTTTTACAAAACTCAAGTCTCTCATTGCTCAAGAGCTCTGCAGTTCAGCCACTCCTATACTATATTTTGGTTGATACAACCATGAACAGAAACAGTCCACACTAAGCACTGCAGGACACACAGTTAAAGAAGCTAAGGAGAGATGCTAGTTTTGAAGGAAAGACCTGTACTTTGCACAATAAACAGTATTTTATTAATTTATATAGAAAAAATTTACCACATATGTAGGAGCCTCAGCTAATGTATATTAAACTGCTCTAAGTGGTTTTAGTTGATTGTCTTAAAACAACAGTGCATTTTCTCCCACTTTCAGGATCTGTTTTAGATGGTTTTAGATGACTTTTTAACAGATGTCCAAAGCTCAAGTAAAAACATGAACTATGGCTTCTGGCTATTACCAGTTATGATTTGAATGTATTTTTCCTAGGAAGTGGGGGTGCTTTCCCATATAGAAAATATGTAAAACTTAACAAACCATTATGCTACCAGATTACCCTCTAGCTGTAGGACTAGTATGTTTTAGACTTCAAACACTAGACTATAGCTGTTTTCTCTTTACCTGCCTCCTAAAGAGGAATAATTTATGTTACCTAGTGAAATGGTACAAAAGTGTCAAAATCTTTTCTAGCCACTCCAAAATAAAGTTCATCTCTAGGGCTTACACAGATACAAGCCCTGTGAGTATTCATAAAATGAATCTTGTTCTTACATCTTTGCTGAATAAAAAAAACAACACACAGCACCTCTTTCCAAGCCTATTAAAGCCATCCAACATGACTATCATATTCTTTGTAAACATACACATATATATGGGTTTACACAGTGTAATTAATATCCCATGCACATGGCACAGGGAAACTAGAATCTAAGTTAACAACTCACTTCTGAACCAGAAACATTTGTCCTGAATTTTAAGTGGCAAAACTCCAGTGCTTCTAATGTGTTTTGTTCTGCTGCAAGTACTAGTTATTATGCTTAAGTAAACATCCATTTCTAACTTACTCAGTGTTTTCCATTTAAAAGAAAAAACAACATTGTGTAACTGAATGTCATTGCACTATTGTTATCAGAGAGGTTTTATTATTTTCAATCTCTTAAAGAAAAAAATAAAAGGAAACTCTGGCTTTAATTTTAGCTGTCGCCTTTTAACAAGCCAAACTCCTCATCCAGAAACCCCAATATACAAAACAAAACAGTATGCGTTATGTCTTGATATTTCATCTTCTTCCCAACTTCTGCACCAAGCAAGCCAAAAAGTAGACTCTGGTTCACAAATATTTTCTGTTTCCCCAGCCTCCTCTCTTCCCATTTCTACATTGATTTTACAGTCTTATAAGAGTGTTCCAGTGGACAGTTTTATTTGCACATGAAAAAAACAAGTTATTCTGTCTCAGGTTTGTTTTGTTATTCAGGGTTCATCCTGTTTTGGTTTGTTGTTGGGTTTTTTTTGTTTAAGAGGAAGAACAATTAGTATTCTATGTTAAGGCAAACCTGAGGAGGCTTATTTTCAGGAAGCTGCCCTCTGAAACATGTAGGCTGCCTCTTCATTCTTAGGTACACACACAGCTCAGAGTCAGTGCCAATACCACCATCAGTAGAGTATTCTAGTATATGAGCTACAGTTTGACAGTGCATAGATTAAAATGGTGATTTTATGTTCAAGTGTCAGCCATGATTTCTCACCAAGGCATTCTTGGGAAAGATGCCAAGGATCTTCCTCAAGGTGAGCTGAGCCAAGGTTGTATTTGATAGAGAAGCTTGATTTTGTTTTAGTAGCAACTGTGTGCAGATACATAAAATGTGTGGCATATTACTATTCCAATATATCATCAGAAAAAAAGATAAAAAACATGGAGCTTGGTGCTCTATTCAACTTACCTTTTCATTCCATGCCCACAATCCAATCCCAAGAAATGCTATGCCAAGGAACTAAAGGGGGGGGAAAAAAAAAATATCAGAGCAGGAACTATAAATTTATGGATTTGTTTTCTTTTCTAATCATACATATTAATACATCTTCCCTGTTGGATTATCAGTTTTTATCAGGACTGTGAGGGCTTACCAAAAGGTTTAAAATATGTTTGTAGTTGTTTACCACTCAAACACTGTAACTGTAAGAATTTAAATTTGCACAGCTAATTCAGGAACGGCCCACATAAGAATAGTATGTGAAAAGAACATAGCTTTTTCACTATCAAGCAAAGTTCTTTTTGTGTTTGTCAGACTCAAAGCAAACTCTACAGTTAAGCAACACATTATTTTACTCTTGTATTACCACCATCTGCACAAAACAACTGTCCTCAGAGTTCTCTCCCACTGAGAGAAAGTGATTAAAAATAAACCCTAAATACACATGTACTACCAGTTTTAGCAATGCTGTCCAAAGAAACAGAGGAAGATGCTTAAATATAACCTATGATTTGGGGGGGGGGGGGGGGGGGAAGGAATAGAAAAA